TTTCTTTCTCCCTCCCATCTTTTTATCATTGGATTATATAGCACTGTGTTCCCTCTTCACATTTTGATTCATCATTACCATTTCTCTATTTGTATCCATATCTTTACAATAAGTCCTGGATATTTCTTTAGGATGGGTGTATATCGTTTAGCCCTGCATTACTTTTGTGTAGTAGATGTGGTTGATTAATATCACAACATACTACATGATGTTGAAGAAAATGGAATTAACATTGTATTATCATCTGAAGTTCTTAACATTCGACCATGCAAAAGTACTCATTATTTTACCAGTATCCTCGATATTCCAGGAGTTACAATCACTTTCGCTCTCTGCACCCCTGGAACATGCCATGGCAACATTGAAGGCACAAGCGAAATAATTTGATTGGTTCCAGGAGAAAAAAACTGACCAATCACAGGCTGATATGCTCCATTTGAAGATAACATAGGAGGAACCTCCAGCTTCAAAGCCATTTCAATATACCATTGCTGCCTCGAGATTCATTTGATGTACATGAAAAGAGCAAACTAGTCTTTTCGTTTTGTCCACAAGGTGTTGCACATGAAACAGTGAACTTTGCCATGACATGTTCCAGGGGTGCAGAGAGCGAAAGTGATCAAAATTCCTGAAGTATTAATGATGTTCTAACTCGTCTGTTCTTCAGGACATGCTTTCTGCATGTTATATTTTGCTGTAGATAAACAGTGACATGAATAGCATATCTTAAACATTTCTTCACAGTAAGATTCAAGACTTTAAAATTTTGAAGTTTGTCAAAACTTCAGTACAATCATTAATTGGACTGACCAGAGAATAGAGTATTGAATTTACTATTCACAAATACAAGGCGTCCAGGGATAATTGCTACCTGATGGTCTGTGACCATCCTCTGGTCACTCCAATACCCTGTATTCCTTAGACTATGGTGCTTAGGAGTTTGGCTTATCAAGGTTTTATTGTGATAGAAAACAACTATCAAGTTTATTGAAGATGTATAGAAGGATGACACACATGAATACCTAGAGTGATGATCCTGGGATCCAAAGTTTTCCTGTTGGTTTGGATACATTTATTTTTATGATTGTCACAGTGAAATGTTGTTAGGATATTTATCTCAAATACTCAACTTCAAAGTGATATTTTTGTGATTTTTAAAAGTGAAAGAGTCTCTTTGTATCAGAAATGATGTGGGGACTTAACATTCAAAATGTAAATATATTCCATAAAAAACATTATATAATACAAATCTTTCAGACTTTTAAATAAAAAAAAACCCATTTATGTTTGAGGCAGCAATTATATCAGGTTATGTCATCATGTACAGATGATTTTTTAAAATCCACTTTGTAGATTCGTAGTTGATAAAAGTGTAAAATTATGCTTGGTTAGCAGAGGGAGAACACAAAAAAATCTATACAAATTTTACAAGTTTTTGCTCTTTATTATTCAGAATACAATATCATTTTCTTTCTGAATTATTCCGTAAAACTGATTCTCGCTAAAGAGCATTTAGGAATTTGTATATGACATCAGAAATAAAAAGCCATGATAAACATCTGAATTTTTGTCAAATCATTTGATGTTGCTACAAATATAAACGAGAAATACTGCTGGTACGTTGATGGAGGTGTTCTTTAATAATATGCAATTTTATGGTCTAGTTGTAACTCGTCTGTTCTGTAGACAATTGTAGCTCGTCTGTTCTGTAGACAGTTGTAACTCATCTGTTCTGTAGACAATTGTAGCTCGTCTGTTCTGTAGACAATTGTAACTCGTCTGTTCTGTAGACAATTGTAGCTCGTCTGTTCTGTAGACAGTTGTAACTCGTCTGTTCTGTAGACAATTGTAGCTCGTCTGTTCTGTAGACAATTGTAGCTCGTCTGTTCTGTAGACAGTTGTAACTCGTCTGTTCTGTAGACAATTGTAACTCGTCTGTCCGGTAGACAGTTGTAACTCGTCTGTTCTGTAGACAGTTGTAACTCATTTGGTGCTACAATATTGCTGGTATAATGATGCAGTTATCAATGTGCAATTGTATACTTTGTAGTTGTAACAATAAGCCTGCAGACAGTTTAGCTCTTGGTCTGTAGACAGTTGTATTTCCTGTTCTGTAGACAGTTTAGCTCCTGGTCTGTAGACAGTTGTATTTCCTGTTCTGTAGACAGTTGTAACTCCTGGTCTGTAGACAGTTGTATTTCCTGGTCTGTAGACAGTTGTGACTCCTGTTCTGTAGACAGTTGTATTTCCTGGTCTGTAGATAGTTGTAACTACTGGTCTGTAGACAGTTGTAACTTCTGGTCTGTAGACAGCTGTAACTTCTGGTCTGTAGACAGTTGTATTTCCTGGTCTGTAGATAGTTGTAACTACTGGTCTGTAGACAGCTGTAACTTCTGGTCTGTAGACAGTTGTAACTTCTGGTCTGTAGACAGCTGTATATCCTGGTCTGTAGATAGTTGTAACTCCTTGGTATGCAAGATATATATGAGGGCAGGTTCTTCATCAATGTCGTTATAAGTTAGACCAAGGCATATTCTGTCTACTTGTATATTTTCCAGAGTTTTTCAAATCCTTACCAAAATTAAGAACCAGAGAGAAAGTTCTGTCTTGTATATGTATTGTTACTGTTAGTAAATTAACATACAGTAGGATAATATTGTAATTATTTCTTGATAATCTGCATAAAGCACTTTACAAATTTAAATTATGTATTAATTTCATTGCTGTACTAGGTATAATCACAGAGTCATTATGTTGACACTTTACATACCCGCATCATCAAATTGTATATCGGATACCTTCTATTGTTATTTTGACGATTTCTTTTGGTCTTGATCAATATTATAATTAAGAAGATTGAAATTAAATCCAAAATATTATGCTGGTTGTTACCAAAACAACAGATGTTGTCAGTGTATAAATGATTGTCATTAGGATGAAGAGATGTGATGCCGTGGGCTGTAATTATATCTGACTGTACTAGACTGCATTATTTTATTAAGAATAACAATAAACGCTGCTTCAGGAGGGAAAATGCTGAAGACTTATGGTTTATTCATGGGATGTAGATAATCTAGCAATAAAGAGAATTTAAGAATATTTTGAATATATTCATTATCTTTTATACAGACTGCATTGTTTATGAAATATCCATTTGTGACACTAGTCTTAAAAGTACAGATTTCCTTCAAATATCTGCTTTTTAGGGGCCTTGAAAATTGTTTAAATTGCATATGGGATATATGTGATAAGGTAGTACTGTAACACAAGATTAAGATAACACTGAAGTTGGGTGGGGGAATAACACTGAATACAAAGTGGGGTGGGGTAATAACACTGAATACAAAGTGGGGTGGAGTAATAACACTGAATACAAAGTGGGGTGGGGGAATAACACTGAATACAAAGTGGGGTGGGGGAATAACACTGAATACAAAGTGGGGTGGGGTAATAACACTGAATACAAAGTGGGGTGGAGTAATAACACTGAATACAAAGTGGGGTGGGGGAATAACACTGAATACAAAGTGGGGTGGGGAATAACACTGAATACAAAGTGGGGTGGGGGAATAACACTGAACACAAAGTGGGGTGGGGGAATAACACTGAATACAAAGTGGGGTGGGGGAATAACACTGAATACAAAGTGGGGTGGGGGAATAACACTGAATACAAAGTGGGGTGGGGTAATAACACTGAATACAAAGTGGGGTGGAGTAATAACACTGAATACAAAGTGGGGTGGGATAATAACACTGAATACAAAGTTGGGTGGGGGAATAACACTGAATACAAAGTGGGGTGGGGGAATAACACTGAATACAAAGTGGGGTGGGGGAATAACACTGAATACAGAGTTGGGTGGGGGAATAACACAAAATACAGAGTGGGTTGTGGGAATAACACTGAATACAGAGTGGGGTGGGGGAATAACACTGAATACAAAGTGGGGTGGGGGAATAACACTGAATACAAAGTGGGGTGGGATAATAACACTGAATACAAAGTTGGGTGGGGGAATAACACTGAATACAAAGTGGGGTGGGGGAATAACACTGAATACAAAGTGGGGTGGGGGAATAACACTGAATACAGAGTTGGGTGGGGGAATAACACTGAATACAGAGTGGGGTGGGGGAATATCACTGAATACAAAGTTGGTTGGGGGAATAACACTGAATACAAAGTGGGAAGGGGGAATAACACTGAATACAAAGTGGGGTGGGGTAATAACACTGAATACAAAGTGGGGTGGGGGAATAACACTGAATACAAAGTGGGGTGGGGGAATAACACTGAATACAAAGTGAGGTGGGGTAATAACACTGAATACAGAGTGAGGTAGGGGAATAACACTGAATACAAAGAGGGGTGGGGGAATAACACTGAATACAACATTGGAAGGGGGAATACAAAGGGGTTGGGGAAGGGTACTATTGTAGTTTTTTTCTCAATTTGTTCATCTGTTTAGGGACCTCACACATCTATAAAGCATCAGAAAATCAGGGTTGTAAGGTCAAGGTCATTTACTTTTGTAAGATAATCAGTGTTAGCACTCTGGAGGCCTTACTTCTTGAAGTATTGTCATTTATTTCCCATACTTTTAAAGCAGTAAATTATCTTGAACAAGTCTGAGTTTAACCAAACAGCACCATGTTTATAAACCATTACAGTGTAATTGCTAGCCAGTAGAGGACATGCAGTGCTCCATTGTAGGGATTTACCCATAGTTTCTTTATATTTACCAACTTCTGTTCTAGTGTACCAATGCTGCATAATCTACTGATACTGAAAGCAAACAATAACAAGTTAACTTGCTTTAAGATAACTGTCTCATAAAGTTTTAAGAGTTTCATTTAAAATTTTTGTCTGTAGTTCTATGATACTGTCTCATTAGTAAATGTCCGGAGTGTGTTAACTATTTCTGAAAATTCAATGGAGATAATATAAAATTGAAGTTGATCGTACTTGAAAACTATCATCAATTTTATCTTTTTCAGATCTCCGTGAATGAAGCATCGGCCCAGCTTTGTCGACATCGTGTATCGTTACTTACACGACGAGAAGATTTGTTTCCATTGGCTAGACAGATAGTGAAAAACAGTGGGTACCAGTACTCCAAGGGCCACTCCAGGTATAGAACCTGTTATACTGTCCACATACAGACTACAGAACCTGTTATACTGTCTACACACAGACTACAGAATCTGTTATACTGTCCACACACAGACTACAGAACTGTTATACTGTCCACACACACTACACACAGACTACAGAACCTGTTATACTGTCTACACACAGACTACAGAACCTGTTATACTGTCCACATACAGACTACAGAACCTGTTATACTGTCTACACTGTCTACACACAGACTACAGAACCTGTTATACTGTCCTACACTGTCTAAAAACAGACTACAGAATCTGTTATACTGTCCACACACAGACTACAGAACTGTTATACTGTCCACACACAGACTACAGAACTGTTATACTGTCCACACACACTACACACAGACTACAGAACCTGTTATACTGTCTACACACAGACTACATAACCTGTTATACTGTCCACATACAGACTACAGAACCTGTTATACTGTCTACACTGTCTACACACAGACTACAGAACCTGTTATACTGTCCTACACTGTCTGTTAAAAACAGACTACAGAATCTGTTATACTGTCTACACACACAGACTACAGAACTGTTATACTGTCCACACACAGTTATACACAGACTACAGAACTGTTATACTGTCCACACACACTACACACAGACTACAGAACCTGTTATACTGTCTACACACAGACTACAGAACATGATATACTGTCTACATACAGACTACAGAACCTGTTATACTGTCTACACTGTCTACACATAGACTACAGAACCTGTTATACTGTCTACATAAGACTACAGAACCTGTTATACTGTCCACACACAGACTACAGAACCTGTTATACTGTCTACACTGTCTACACACAGACTACAGAACATGATATACTGTCTACATACAGACTACAGAACATGATATACTGTCTACACTGTCTACACACACACTACAAAACCTGTTATACTGTCTACATACAGACTACAGAAACTGTTATACTGTCCACACACAGACTACAGAACCTGTTATACTGTCTACATACAGACTACAGAACCTGTTATACTGTCTACATACAGACTACAGAAACTGTTATACTGTCCACACACAGACTACAGAACCTGTTATACTGTCTACACACAGACTACAGAACCTGTTATACTGTCTACACTGTCTACACACAGACTACAGAACCTGTTATACTGTCTACACACAGACTACAGAACCTGTTATACTGTCCACACACAGACTACAGAACCTGTTATACTGTCTACATACAGACTACAGAACCTGTTATACTTTCTACACTGTCTACACACAGACTACAGAACATGATATACTGTCTACATACAGACTACAGAACCTGTTATACTGTCTACACTGTCTACACATAGACTACAGAACCTGTTATACTGTCTACATAAGACTACAGAACCTGTTATACTGTCCACACACAGACTACAGAACCTGTTATACTGTCTACACTGTCTACACACAGACTACAGAACATGATATACTGTCTACATACAGACTACAGAACCTGTTATACTGTCTACACTCAGACTACAGAACCTGTTATACTGTCTACACTGTCTACACACACTACAAAACCTGTTATACTGTCTACATACAGACTACAGAAACTGTTATACTGTCCACACACAGACTACAGAACCTGTTATACTGTCTACATACAGACTACAGAACCTGTTATACTGTCTACATACAGACTACAGAAACTGTTATACTGTCCACACACAGACTACAGAACCTGTTATACTGTCTACACACAGACTACAGAACCTGTTATACTGTCTACACTGTCTACACACAGACTACAGAACCTGTTATACTGTCTACACACAGACTACATAACCTGTTATACTGTCCACACACAGACTACAGAACCTGTTATACTGTCTACACACAGACTACAGAACCTGTTATACTGTCTACACACAGACTACATAACCTGTTACACTGTCCACACACAGACTACAGAACCTGTTATACTGTCTACACTGTCTACATACAGACTACAGAACCTGTTGTACTGTCTACACACAGACTACAGAACCTGTTATACTGTCCACACACAGACTACAGAACCTGTTATACTGTCCACACACAGACTACATAACCTGTTATACTGTCTACACACAGACTATAGAACCTGTGACACTGTCTACATACAGACTACAGAACCTGTTAAACTATCTACACACAGACTACAGAACCTGTTATACTGTCTACACACAGACTATAGAACCTGTGACACTGTCTACATACAGACTACAGAACCTGTTAAACTATCTACATACAGACTACAGAACCTGTTAAACTATCTACACACAGACTACAGAACCTGTTATACTGTCTACACACAGACTACAGAACCTGTTATACTGTCTACACACAGACTACAGAACCTGTTATACTGTCTACATACAGACTACAGAACCTGTTATACTGTCCACACACAGACTACTGAACATGTTATACTGTCTACACACAGACTACAGAATCTGTTGTACTGTCTATACTGTCTACACACAGATTACAGAACCTGTTACACTGTCCACACACAGACTACAGAACTGTTATACTGTCCACACACACTACACACAGACTACAGAACCTGTTATACTGTCTACACTGTCTACATACAGACTACAGAACCTGTTGTACTGTCTACACACAGACTACAGAACCTGTTATACTGTCCACACACAGACTACAGAACCTGTTATACTGTCCACACACAGACTACATAACCTGTTATACTGTCTACACACAGACTATAGAACCTGTGACACTGTCTACATACAGACTACAGAACCTGTTAAACTATCTACACACAGACTACAGAACCTGTTATACTGTCTACACACAGACTACAGAACCTGTTATACTGTCTACACACAGACTACAGAACCTGTTATACTGTCTACACACAGACTACAGAACCTGTTATACTGTCTACACTGTCTACACACAGACTACAGAACCTGTTATACTGTCTACACACAGACTACAGAACCTGTTATACTGTCTACACACAGACTACAGAACCTGTTATACTGTCTACACACAGACTACAGAACTTGTTATACTGTCTACACACAGACTACAGAACTTGTTATACTGTCTACACACAGACAACAGAACTTGTTATACTGTCTACACACAGACTACAGAACCTGTTATACTGTCTACACACAGACTACAGAACCTGTTATACTGTCTACACACAGACTACAGAACTTGTTATACTGTCTACACACAGACTACAGAACTTGTTATACTGTCTACACACAGACTACAGAACTTGTTATACTGTCTACACACAGACTACAGAACTTGTTATACTGTCTACACACAGACTACAGAACTTGTTATACTGTCTACACACAGACTACAGAACCTGTTATACTGTCTACACACAGACTACAGAACCTGTTATACTGTCTACACTGTATACACACAGACTACAGAACCTGTTATAATACTGTCTACACACAGACTACAGAACCTGTTATACTGTCTACACACAGACTACAGATCCTGTTATACTGTCTACACTGTCCACATACAGACTACAGAACCTGTTAAACTGTCCACACACAGACTACAGAACGTAAGGTGATATCTATCACTGGTTATAGGATGTAAGGTGATATCTATCACTGGTTATAGAACGTAAGTTGATATCTATCACTGGTTATAGAACGTAAGGTGATATCTATCAATGGTTATAGAACCTAAGTTGATATCTATCACTGGTTATAGAATGTAAGGTGATATCTAACACTGGTTATAGAACGTAAGGTGATATCTAACACTGGTTATAGAATGTAAGTTGATATCTATCACTGGTTATAGAACGTAAGGTGATATCCACAACCTGGCTACAGAATCTAAAGTGATCAGTAAGCCAATATCCTCTGCCAGGCATATTACCCTTGTTTTTGTCAGGCATACTTCATCATGGTTGTTTCTGTAATTTTCTTTGTGTATCTTTCTTAGATATCTGCAGAATTTGGATTATTAGGGCCCCGCATCGCGATGCGGGTGCCCTATAGTAATCACCTTGTCCGTCTGTCCGTTTCCCTGTCCGTCGATCCATATATCTGTCCATCTGTCCATTTTCATTGGATTTTGATGAAAGTTGCTTTCAATACTTGACACCTGTCCATATATTTCTTAATATTAAGAAACTCAATCATAAGGGGTAGGTATTATGCGGGGCCCTTCCTCGACATTGGTCTAGTTATTCCTACAGTCAGAGGACTAGACATAAAATGTTGATGTACTTTGAATCATGCGTGGTATTGACATTTTCACATTCATGATCATAGCTGATTTCACAACAGAAAATAGTAAAACAAAGTTCAAATACAAAGAAACTCTTAATTAATAAAAAATAGTTTCATTCATGAGATAAAAATGTAAGTTTAAGAGAAATTAACAAGAAATGAGAAATGCAGAATTATATATATATGTTTCTGTGATAAGTTCATGCACCTTTAACTACAGGGTATGTATTGTACAGATGACTGAAAACAAATAGCAACACTGAAGTGGTAGTTACTCAGTATGTTTTCACAATTCTGTAAATTACACCTTACTTAATTCTTTTAGTATATGTATGAAATTTAACCTGGAGGCCAAAATACTCGTACAGTACAAGTAAAATGTTTAATTCAAATCATGAGGTGTCAGTGGCTGTTGTCATAGTTGATGGTCTGTGAAATAAGCTTTGATACATCAAAAAGTTAGAGTTATAAAACTTTGATTCATAAAGGAGCAAATCACAGGTGTTATATAGGAATAAAATTTGGGACTGGGCAAAACATTTGATTCATAGGAGAGGAATTTTCAGATTTCTTATATTAAAGAGTAAAAACATAGAAAAGAAGAGATACCAAGGGAAAAAAATTCAGTTAAAAGGACAAACATTGGTGGAAGTGACGATCCTTCTGGGATCCATCAAAATGTGCAACCTTTTTGTCAATTTCGCAAGTACATTGTCTTGTTCATTGGATAAAAATGACAAATTACAGTGCTGTTTCTAATAGCTCTCATTTGTAATGAGATACTTCCAGAGGTAAATTTAGAAATAAATGCACATGACAGCAAGGAAGATAGGCTATTAAAAACATGTTTTTTTAATTAATCAGCAATTTTGTATGATTTTATAAGATGTAATATTAGATATCACAAATGAATGGTGAATGTTTCGAGTTGAGGAATTTAAAACTAGATATATGTAGCAACTGATATGAAACTTACAACAAACCAGTGACCATAGATATTACAAAAGAAACATTTGTGTATCATTTCCAGATGTTTGTTTCAAGTGCAAAGTGGCCACATCGTTGTCTTGAATTATTTTAATCAAAATGATAATATTACAATATAAAATTTTGAATCAGTTATTTTATTTCTTGCATGAAACAGCAGAGCGAATTATATATTACACAACGAGATTTCACTTAGAATACTGTCGTACAAAACAGAACCATCAAATAAATTAAAATATTCTTGAAGTTGAGGCCGTCCATTAGATTGTATGAGTATCGGATAGGTCCAGTCTCCTGTACCCCATATGTGTAATATTTTTCTTGCAATGAGCCCATGCTTGGTAATAAGCCTGCCTGTTTTTCTGTAAATTACAAACAAATGCTCTTCCATTGTTCTGTCATGACTTACTAATAAGTCCATGTGTCTGTTTACATGTTAAGCCCATTACATGATAAAGTTGGTATGTAATCTCCCCACGGTTCCATGCTTGGGTTTATTAATTTAACAGCATCAGAATTATAATGTTGTGATTATCCCCATTACAAGTATTATAATTGACATTTAGTTGTAAAGGGTATGGTAATGCTTATAATCTTGTTTATAGTGTAATAATTTACACAGGAATCGAACATTAATGGGCAATGTGTTTCTACTTGTTGTAATGTGATAGTCACATTGTGAAAGCAAAAATATCCAGAAGAACTGTTATCTTGGTAAAATCTACAATTAGATCTCGGTATTTATCAAATTTGCTGGTCATTAGCCAGCCAGCCTGGAATGACTGCAGTGGTTTTATTTCAGGTGTGATTTGTTACAAATAGAGCTTCAGATTACCAATCTTCATCGATTTCAAAACACATGCTTCTTTCTAATGAGGGAAGATTACTGGCTAATGTATTGTGATGTAAAATTTTGTAGCTATATGTCTGCCAATAGTGCTAATACCATTGTTAAGTTATTGTTGTATAATTATCAATTCTAGATATAGGTACTTTATAGCAAATAATTATGTTCATAAATCTGTATCATTATCTGAAAAAAATTAACAAAAAAGAAAAGAAAAAATTGTTTTGAGAAATAATTAAGAAATTATTTTTAAATAATTTGTTGCAGACAAAGATGGCATATTTCTGATATTAAAGACAGTCTGTGAAGAGGTGATTTTGTTTCATGTGCAAAATTTTATATTTCAGAGCATCCGATGTAGTTGTTCCTATGACGTCAGCCAAACGAACACGATTTGATCCTTTATATGTCAAGTTAGAAAAGGTATGTCAACGTTTCCCTTTACTGGTTAATCAGGCTGGAAGAACCACCACATAAGTTCCTGGCATGAGGGAACATCAATTGTCAATTGGTCAATTTGTTTCCTATAAATTGTGACTAGCTATGAACAATTTTGGCTATACTTGGTCAGAAGCATCCTTGGGGAAACTTTGTGTAAACAGTGGGACTGTGTTCCCCAGGATTAAAGGGGTATGACTCCTCTCCACTTATAAGAGATGAATGACTGAAATATGTTTTCAGTTTGGCGGAAGGGATTTTTTTTTAATCAAATCTGCTCTAAAACAGCCATTGCTTTTGGGAACGTGTTTTTATGTTAATGGAGGCTCTTTGGTAGGGAAATAGAGATACCAGTTGTTGATATTCCTCTACAGGAATGAAAGGGATTTTGACCAACCAACAACCCCTTTCCCATCAAGTAAGTTTTCATGTAGAAACATTGAATTTGGACACCCCCCTCCCCCCCCCCCCCCCCCCCCCCCGACAAGACCTAACTTTAGTTTCAAACTTTTATAGTATATTCCATTACCAGCTATCACCATGTGATTATATTCAATCATTGTTTACTAGCTTTGTGGGAACCAAGTAAATAAAGTTAATTTCATGGTTATGCTATGAAAGATATCAAGTTAACCCTAGGACTAAAAATTGATCAGTATTCTATGTTGTTCGGTATCTCTCCAGTAATAATGTGTGAAAAATTGGTTTGTTACAGGAGCGCATAACAAACTTGAGTCAGGAGTTGTTACTAATCACCCAGCGCCAGGACGACCTGAAGGCCCAGCTTCAGACTGCCAAGGAGTCTGGAGGTGTTGACTCTGAGGTCTACAGATCCCTACAATCTGAACTTGAACAAACCACAGTCCGCCAACTACAGCTTCTTTCTGAACAAAATGAGATTGTACAGAAACACAAACGTCTCTCGGAGGAAGGTAAGATTGTACAGAAACACAAACGTCTCTCGGAGGAAGGTAAGATTGTACAGAAACACAAATGTCTCTCGGAGGAAGGTAAGATTGTACAGAAACACAAATGTCTCATGCATGAGGGTAAGATTGTACAGAAACACAAATGTCTCTCGGAGGAAGGTAAGATTGTACAGAAACACAAACGTCTCTCAGAGGAGGGTAAGATTTACAGAAACACAAATGTCTCATGCATGAGGGTAAGATTTACAGAAATACAAATGTCTTATGCAGGAGGGTAAGATTTACAGAAATACAAATGTCTCATGCATGAGGGTAAGATTTACAGATTTACAAATGTCTCATGCAGGAGTGTAAGATTTACAGAAATACAAATATCTCATGCATGAGGATAAGATTTACAGAAACACTAATGTCTCATGCATGAGGGTAAGATTTACAGAAATACAAATGTCTTATGCAGGAGGGTGAGATTTACAGAAATACAAATGTCTCATGCATGAGGGTAAGATTTACAGATTTACAAATGTCTCATGCAGGAGTGTAAGATTTACAGAATTACAAATATCTCATGCATGAGGATAAGATTTACAGAAACACTAATGTCTCATGCATGAGGGTAAGATTTACAGAAACACAAATGTCTCATGCAGGAGGGTAAGATTTACAGAAATACAAATGTCTCTTGTATGGACATAGAGCTTTGTCATCACTTAGACATTCACCAACATTCCCAGCTGGCGTGGCATTTTGAGGAATCATGAATTGTGCTCAGTAGATTTGACTGTCAGTCCACATATTCTGTTCCTCGTTCAAAAACCATTCAAGATAAGTACCAACAATTGGATATACATATTAAACTGGATTGCAGTTGTGCTTTTTGCAATTAAGATTTCATTTGGGATGTTTTTCTTATACCATCGAAACAAATAATCGAGCATAAAAAACAATTCAAGCTTTTTCAGGCTTATCCCAACACAATAACTGGTTTTCTTTCTACAAAACAAATATATAAAATTCACGATTTCTTTACTTTTCTTCGCTACAACTATACAAAACAATAATTAAAACAAATGTGTTCAAGCAAAAAGTCTTTTGATGATTAGAATATGATGCAAGGGAGATAACTGCCATCCCTTAGCATTTTGTGATTTTACAGAAAAATACAACACCTATTAATATCCATGATATGTACAAATAAAACCTTTCTCCAAGAAAAAATAAGGTTTAAAGTGTAAAATTCTGGGCACATCACAATGATGTCTTGTTATTCCATTAGTGACAAATGGAATTTCTTCAGGTCAAACCATGACCAGTTTCATTTCAAAGAGGTTTGGCTTTGTAAAATTCCATAAAGATTAGTATTGATTTCAAACCCCTGTGTAAAGTGAGGTTGGTAGGATGGAGGGTACAAGATGATCAGGGTATATATATGCCAACTGTGGTGACAGGTAGAAACTCATGTGAGATCATTGATATGTAACTTACTGCAATTGATCAGTACCTAGGTATTTTATATGGTAATCCAGAATAAAGAAAAAATTGGTTTTTTTCATTTTTTATGTAACATACACAATTTTGATTTGTGATCCACAGATTTACAAAGTGGAAGTTCCTCGCCAAGGGAAGATAATTCTGGAGACATGGATGAGTTTAATTTGATGGTGCGGTCCCAATTGTACACAACACAGATACCAGGAGGCTTGATGCAGGACACTTTATTTGATGAAGGCTTACGTATCGCACAGCAGTATGGCATGGCCGACTTTGCACAGGAACTGAAACAGATGCATCCAGTGGAGGATTCGAGTGAAAGTGGGGAGGGGGATGGGAATACCAATGGTGTCAAACCTACAGAGAATGGAAAGTCCCCGAAAAACAATGGTGACAGTGTTTCAACTGTAGATAAGCCAAAACTGTTACCAATCAAACTGGCCACAACCAATGGCACAGATTTTACAGTGAAAACTGAGCCAGTCGATTCCGTGGAAGTGAACGGCAGTTGATACATGATATTATAAAGTGTTACAATTTTATAACTATTTACATGACCCAAATTATTTCAACATTCCTATATTTTAGTTTAAAATGGATTGAGAAGAGGTGTGACTGGAACTTTCCACAGGCTAGTAGTTGTTAGTGTATGTTATAAATACTTTAATATATGATGTATGACAGAATGACTTCAGATTTTTATGATTTAAATGTGCATGTGAAAAAGGTTTTGTTATGTGATAAATTTTGTAAAAAGTAGGAAAAGGAGCTCAAAGCTACTTGGTTTGGTGACAACAAGTGTAAATCGTGTGACAGTAGGGCCATGAAATAGTACCACATTCGTCTTTCACCTAAGCAACCAGGGTTGAATTCCTAGATCGATTGGGACAAATTTTGGGAGTCATCTGTCTACTATGTGGATTCTCCCGTTGTAAGAACCCTGACATTGGCCAACAAAAGTGATATATATAAGCAGATGGCTTGTTTGGCATGTGTTGTAAATGAATGTCGTGAAAGAATAGTAACTCTTAGAGTTTATGTGGGAATACTGCCCTTTTTGATTACATTTGTTGAATACCAGTATGTGTACAGAGACTGCCTTTTCGTTTTTTGTGTTTGAATGGAGAAAATGCCTGTAGTTATCAATGTAAATCCATATAGACTGTGGGTTGTGTGGCTTCTATTAGAATGACCAAGTGCTTGTACTGTAGATGTAAGAATATATGTGGAGCTTTCCCTTTTATGTTGTATCACTTCCAACATTACCATATATAGGATTATAGAAATGTCCTACTGTCGTCCTTGTTGGCCTCCTAGTACATTTCTGCTTTGGCAGACAAATTGTACTGCTTCAGCAGATTTTACTGAACTTGATGCACCTACACACTACACAATAGACAACAGTTTTTAAAAAAAGGTATTTATCGTACTCACCATTTTGTGCAAAGAAATACAAAATGTGATGAAATCAGAGGACATCTGTAATGTGTATCCTTATAGTATGAAGGACCAGGGGCCTGTTTACTATGTAGACAAACTTATTTGCGGTAACTTTGAAAAACTATCTGGGCATAAATCGAGACAGATCTACAAATATTAATACAGGCCTTAAAAGGCTTAGTTGAAGCTTGTCAGAAAGTAAAATAAGACCTGTAATCGATTACAGATTAATATTTGAAGTATAATAGCAATGTATTTTGGAAGAAATTGTGCCCATGCCTGCAGTAGGTCTGCCCTTACTTCATAGACAAACAACCTGGTCCATCAAGTCAAACCAATGAACAAATATGGCCCATGTGAAAGTGCATCAAGACAGATGAATTAGTTACATCATTGTTGGTTTTACAATTGTTGTTAGTTATACTGTTCTTGCATTTACCTATTCAGTTAAAGCTCCGTGGGTTAAACATACGAGTTCTGTATCACGCTTTTTGGATGGCATTGAAATAATATCTGAACAGTGCTAGATATATTGTTGGGATTACACTTCATTTTTTAAGTCAATATTTAATTTAATTCTGTTAATTCAACAGAAACATTGGAGGCATCATTACTAGAACAAATATTTCAAAACACAACTGGAGAATTCAGACCAAGAAGTGAGTTTTCAGTGGTAGCTTGATGGAGTTTTCATACATTTCCATTCATGTGTCTGTAATTATGGTAGAATCTGTTATGGAAACTGTATATTTGGTTATCTGTATGTCCGTGTATGATGGTATGTTTACAGCTGTTTGTATCATTATATGAAAGTGATTCAAAACATGAACCAGTGTCTGCATGTTAGGTTGGATTAAAAGGACATAAATGGGAATACTTTCAGAAAAGTCATTATACTAGAAAACTGCATAAAGATGCTTGTAGCACCAATTATATTGCGGGAAAGATTTATATATTCCAGGAGCCAAATGTTAGTATATTCCAGGAACCAGATGTTTGTATGTTCTTTGAGCCAGATGTTGGGATATTCCAGGAGCCAGATGTTAGTATGTTTGTGAAGCCAGTAATTCTTTGTTGTAAAATGTGTTGTACAGGCGCAAAAATATCTACATAGAATTTTGATACCAATACTTACCAGTCTTGGTACTATTATTGTTAGGAGCTTGTCCTTATTTGGCCCCAGATCTGCATTGTGCTGTTCTTCTTCTCTACACCAGGTGTCAAGAGAAGTCTTCAGTATACCTATGTTTACTTTCTATGTATTTCATACTTGTCCAATTTTTAAAAATTATCATAGGGGAAATTTAACATAATGCTAATTCATAATTGAATTGTGTGTATATACACCTTCCGGTAAGGAAATAACACCTGAAAATGGCATCTTTTGGGTCGTTCATTCAATCAAATCATTAAATCTCAGAAAAGGAGAATAGTTATGCAAGTTCTGTGTTTGAAAATAGCAAAATAAGGGGTCCAGAATCAAGTTGCTTTTCTGAATGGAGAATGTTTGCAAGTATGGTATTTATAATGCTTCTGAAGGAAGAGCATATAGTCGCTGCTTTGTTTGTTCCTCCATCCGTCTGTCTGTCCATTCGTTCGTCCGTGCCTCTGTCTGTCCATCATAATTTTGTCTGGAGCATATCACAAAAACTATAAGATCTATCAATATGAAACTTTGTAGGTAGATCAATCTTGAAAACGAGAATTGCAGTGTACTAGAACCATAACTCTCTTTTGCATAATCTAGGAGTTATTGCCATTTATTTTTCATATTTAGATTTTGTCAAAATTAGCTCTTTAGGTACTAGTTTTTATCTGGGGAGCATCCATCAGTTCTGTCGATTCTCTTGTTAGTTTGTTAAACAGTTTCAGTCTAGAATGGTAAAGTTTGTTAAACAGTTTCCTGGAGTTTCAGTCTAGAATGGTAAAGTTTGTTAAACAGTTTCAGGGAGTTTCAGTCTAGAATGGTAAAGTTTGTTAAACAGTTTCAGGGAGTTTCAGTCTAGAATAGTAAAGTTTGTTAAACAGTTTCAGGGAGTTTCAGAAGAATGGTAAAGTTTGTTAAACAGTTTCAGGGAGTTTCAGTCTAGAATGGTAAAGTTTGTTAAACAGTTTCAGGGAGTTTCAGTCTAGAATAGTAAAGTTTGTTAAACAGTTTCAGGGAGTTTCAGTCTAGAATGGTAAAGTTTGTTAAACAGTTTCAGGGAGTTTCAGTCTAGAATGGTAAAGTTTGTTAAACAGTTTCAGGGAGTTTCAGTCTAGAATAGTAAAGTTTGTTAAACAGTTTCAGGGAGTTTCAGTCTAGAATAGTAAAGTTTGTTAAACAGTTTCAGGGAGTTTCAGGTTTGTTAGTTTCAGTTTCTCTAGAATAGTAAAGTTTGTTAAACAGTTTCAGGGAGTTTCAGTCTAGTAAAGTTTGTTAAACAGTTTCAGGGAGTTTCAGTCTAGAATAGTAAAGTTTGTTAAACAGTTTCCTGGAGTTTCAGTCTAGAATGGTAAAGTTTGTTAAACAGTTTCAGGGAGTTTCAGTCTAGAATAGTAAAGTTTGTTAAACAGTTTCCTGGAGTTTCAGTCTAGAATGGTAAAGTTTGTTAAACAGTTTCCTGGAGTTTCAGTCTAGAATGGTAAAGTTTGTTAAACAGTTTCCTGGAGAATGGTAAAGTTTGTTAAACAGTTTCAGGGAGTTTCAGTCTAGAGTTTGTTAAACAGTTTCTAGAATGGTAAAGTTTGTTAAACAGTTTCCTGGAGTTTCAGTCTAGAATGGTAAAGTTTGTTAAACAGTTTCAGGGAGTTTCAGTCTAGAATGGTAAAGTTTGTTAAACAGTTTCCTGGAGTTTCAGTCTAGAATAGTAAAGTTTGTTAAACAGTTTCAGGGAGTTTCAGTCTAGAATGGTAAAGTTTGTTAAACAGTTTCCTGGAGTTTCAGTCTAGAATAGTAAAGTTTGTTAAACAGTTTCCTGGAGTTTCAGTCTAGAATGGTAAAGTTTGTTAAACAGTTTCCTGGAGTTTCAGTCTAGAATAGTAAAGTTTGTTAAACAGTTTCCTGGAGTTTCAGTCTAGAATGGTAAAGTTTGTTAAACAGTTTCCTGGAGTTTCAGTCTAGAATAGTAAAGTTTGTTAAACAGTTTCCTGGAGTTTCAGTGTAGTAAGGTAAAGTTTTTTAAACAGTTTCCTGGAGTTTCAGTCTAGAATGGTAAAGTTTGTTAAACAGTTTCCTGGAGTTTCAGTCTAGAATAGTAAAGTTTGTTAAACAGTTTCCTGGAGTTTCAGTCTAGAATGGTAAAGTTTGTTAAACAGTTTCCTGGAGTTTCAGTCTAGAATAGTAAAGTTTGTTAAACAGTTTCCTGGAGTTTCAGTCTAGAATGGTAAAGTTTGTTAAACAGTTTCCTGGAGTTTCAGTCTAGAATGGTAAAGTTTGTTAAACAGTTTCCTGGAGTTTCAGTCTAGAATAGTAAAGTTTGTTAAACAGTTTCCTGGAGTTTCAGTCTAGAATGGTAAAGTTTGTTAAACAGTTTCCTGGAGTTTCAGTCTAGAATAGTAAAGTTTGTTAAACAGTTTCCTGGAGTTTCAGTCTAGAATGGTAAAGTTTGTTAAACAGTTTCCTGGAGTTTCAGTCTAGAATAGTAAAGTTTGTTAAACAGTTTCCTGGAGTTTCAGTCTAGAATGGTAAAGTTTGTTAAACAGTTTCCTGGAGTTTCAGTCTAGAATAGTAAAGTTTGTTAAACAGTTTCAGGGAGTTTCAGTCTAGAATAGTAAAGTTTGTTAAACAGTTTCCTGGAGTTTCAGTCTAGAATAGTAAAGTTTGTTAAACAGTTTCCTGGAGTTTCAGTCTAGAATAGTAAAGTTTGTTAAACAGTTTCCTGGAGTTTCAGTTAAAGTTTGTTAAACAGTTTCAGGGAGTTTCAGTCTAGAATAGTAAAGTTTGTTAAACAGTTTCAGGGAGTTTCAGTCTAGAATAGTAAAGTTTGTTAAACAGTTTCAGGGAGTTTCAGTCTAGAATAGTAAAGTTTGTTAAACAGTTTCAGGGAGTTTCAGTCTAGAATGGTAAAGTTTGTTAAACAGTTTCCTGGAGTTTCAGTCTAGAATGGTAAAGTTTGTTAAACAGTTTCAGGGAGTTTCAGTCTAAATAGTAAAGTTTGTTAAACAGTTTCAGGGAGTTTCAGTCTAGAATAGTAAAGTTTGTTAAACAGTTTCAGGGAGTTTCAGTCTAGAATAGTAAAGTTTGTTAAACAGTTTCAGGGAGTTTCAGTCTAGTAAAGTTTGTTAAACAGTAAAGTTTGTTAAACAGTTTTGTTAAACAGTTTCAGGGAGTTTCAGTCTAGAATAGTAAAGTTTGTTAAACAGTTTCAGGGAGTTTCAGTCTAGAATGGTAAAGTTTGTTAAACAGTTTCCTGGAGTTTCAGTCTAGAATAGTAAAGTTTGTTAAACAGTTTCCTGGAGTTTCAGTCTAGAATAGTAAAGCATGAACGTATTTCAGATGATCTTATTATTTTACAAAGTGCGCTGATAAGTGGCTAAATAGTTAAGTTTTCTGGTTTTGAGAGTGCTATTACAGAGCCTGAACTTGAGGGATATTTTATTTGGTGGTAAGCACATTGATGTGACAAGTTAACTGGTTTTCTGTGAAATTGTGTATTTTTTGTTAGACTCAGATTTTGTGGATTTTTAAAATTGTTTTGTGGGCATGATATTAAAATTTTGTGTGAAATTTTTAACAGTCATCTAATTCATGGGCAGATGTCTACATAGATGTAGCGTACCACGAAATCAATGAAAATCAAGTGGTGATTTTTCAGTGCGAGGTCATGCTAGTTGGCAAGTTGGTTGATTAAACGTGTGGTGTGATCAACATTATTTGTGTTCAGCCGTATATATTTGTAGCTATTGATACGACACATTGTAGTAGACTTTGTCAGAGATGTGACAGATTTAAATACCCTAGCTTTGTTATCATTCCCAGTACTGTAGCTTTAGATATGTGTGAGAGGATGGACGACTAATTAGAGGGATTGCGAGTCAGTCAATAGTAGGTCTACATTGAAACATATCACAAAGAAAGACCACTAATGCAGCAGAGGAATGACTTGTCAGTATGTACAGTGCTACAATATATCTGATTTATATAGATGGAAACCATGATAGAATATTCGCTCACTTAATTTGTATGGTTGAGAACTTGAAAGCAAGGTATTTTAAAGCTACTAATTTCCTATTTTTGTGAATTTTTATCATTTATTAAGAAACCCCATGTTTTTACATTGAAAAGCTCTTAAAGAATTGATAAAATGAATGAAAGGTAAACATATTTATAACATTAAGAAACAGCCAAGCTCAACCTGAACAGTTGTAGATGAGAATATTGTAGCTGTCAGTATAATTTATTAATGAAAATACATACTGCCTACGATTTACCAAAGAGGCGTACATGATACATAGATAATTTCAATAAATCTATGTACACTTTATGACTGTACAATCATTTCTTATTCTGAAGGATATCTATAAATATCAGTTATAAATGTTAGTCCCAAAGAATTGCAGAGTTTTGTAGTTAATGAAATCTGTTAAAAAACAGAAAATTTGATCAAACGGAAATCGTAATCAGCGCATTGTTTTGTACTGGTATATTGATTTGCAAAGCTACACTTTCTATATTATGAAAAAATACGCAATTGATTGGTAGAAAGGAAACAATATTATGGAACTTTGTAAATGCATTTGTACCTAGTCCTGTAGATTTGTGTTGATAATTTTAAAAATGTATTTGAGTCCCTTATTAGTAGGTACCAATCCAGAAGACTTATTGACAACACTTTGTCCGAGAGAGCCAATAGATAAATGTAATGAAACATTACATTGTTAAAGGGACACAACTCCCTTACTTCCATGATTGTTGATGTGTGTTGTCGGGTAAAGGGATGTGTGTTCCATTGATGTCAGATTGTTCCTGTGTAGGTTAAAAGGGCTGATCTCCTTTCCATACATGATTGTTTTTGTATATAACCATAGCTAATGGTGCCTTGTGAGTGAGAATTTTTGTTATTTATTTATGCATAATGTTTCATGTTTTGTCTGATCTTGAGCATACCAAAAAAGCAAAACTGCTCATTAAAATAGATAAATGAAAGTGAAATTGTTTTATGTTTTATGTTTTCTGTCAAACAAATGTAAGAATGAACTCACAATGTAATATCTTCATTATCTTCAAAATAGATCATGAAATTGGTTTATCATACAAAACAAAAAGAGGTAATTAAGCGACAAGAAGTGCCCTTAAGTATTTGGTGTGATGAAGGACCCATCGTATGTGTGTTTGTTAACATTTAACATTTGGATAAATATAAGCTACTGGGTACTAATATTTGGCCAGAGGATGCCTGAGTTTATTTTATTGTATGGTTGTCCTTGACCTATTTGTAACAAGGGTACAATATGCCTCAAACTTTGGATCTTCTCAATTTTCAGAAGACCAAACATACTTTGATTTGGCCAGTGGGTACATGATTTGGCCAGTGGGTACATGAGATTGCATGCTGCAAATCAAAGTTTCCTCATATTGATGACCGTGGTCTATTATGATCTATCACAGGTGTAAGATGTGTCAAAAACTTATGATCGTCTCAAGTTCCTGAAGACTCCAAACTTTTAATATTTAGCCAGCAGGTGTATAGGACAGAAGTGATTCAGTTTCCAATTACTGATGACCTTTTACATAGGGTCAGAGGTCAAATATCTCAAGTTCCACAAAACTATGCTGGTAAGTATGGAAGTTGGAGCACTTAAGTTTCGTGGTATAAGTTACCTTGACTTTAGTTTCAAGGTCACAGTTGTCAAAATGTTTTAAAAGCATTGAAGAATCATCTCAAGCTACAAAAGACTCCGAGTCCTGATATTTAATCAGACAGTACCTGGAATGGTGTGTTATAAAATTTCCCATTAAAAATGACCTATACTTATTTTCATGGCCATGAGTCAAATCATAAGACCGAAGGTACTCATTCAGCAATAAAGTTTCATTGTGTAAATATTTTTTCATTTTCAAAGCCACAGGGGTAAAACATGTGATAACATTTAGAATAATTTCAAGTTTCAGAAGATTCAGATTCCTGATAATTTGAAGCAGTACCTGGTGGGGATACTACATATCGCCAATAAATGACCAGCAGCTTCACAATGGTCCAATTCCTGATAATTTGAAGCAGTACCTGGAGGGGATACCACAGACCACCAATAAATGACCTGCAGCTTCACAAAATGCCTTTTCTAGAAAAGTTATCATTATTTGTTACATCATGAACACTGATACTATATATCACTTCTAGTTTATGGTGGCATTTTGAACATGGATCATACCAATCTGCTGATTATCATGTGAGGGATACAATCTCTCTCTGGGCCTCTTGTTATTGATATGCAGTGTTTGTCAGTTGAGATGATGTGCTACAGTTATAATGTTGTAAACGGTACTTCAATCTGTCCTTTATATTACTATTCCCATAAGAATAGATCTAATCCAATGCTCTTTTGCTTCAGTCATCATTGTCTAGTCATTAACTTTCTCAAGGACACTTTCTTTTTATATGTATGTCAGGATTTAAGCAAATTAAGTTTTGGAATAACCGATTTTATGGTGTAAAAAGGGTTTGTTTACACAGCTGACTTGTTTAATGTAAATGACAAATATTGAGAAATCTTAAATTTAAAGGAAAATCTCCACAATATTGTGTCACTTGTCGGTTAGTTTATATAATATATATACAAGGATAGAGCCAACGCTGTTGCTATCAGTGGAGGATGAAAGGTCCTTCGCCTCTCGTCTGGATACCCGAGGGTATGCAGGGGATTGATTAGAAGGGGTGAGTTTGAATAAGGATGAATCAGTCCAACCGACTGGTGGAGGGTTCTTCAATCTTTTATTTGGTAGTAGGTCACCTACCAAATAACCTGCCTCTAGTCATTTGGATTGATTCATTCTTATGTTTGTTTATACAAGATGTGATTTTGAAGTCCATAAGAACTTATTTAAAAATCCATGATTTATATACAATATGTTTCTGATAAATACATCCTTCAAAATCACCATAGCAACCTAAGCATCTACATATATTCCTTAATGTTCTTATGAACTTTCAGCTGAGTTGGTTCACAAGTTCAGGAGGAATTGAGTTGACAGACTGATGGACAAGCTAATTCCAGTATACCTCCTCCTAACTTGGTTACTGCGGGTATGAAAATTATCTGCTGGAATAATATTGATATTGCTGTTTTTACAGCAGCCTGTGCTTTAAAAAAAGTGGGAAAAAATATAGGATTTTGAGAAAAAATTGGGAAAATATTCTGGGATTTTCCTTCGTTTTGGAAAAATAGCACATATTTTGGCTCAGGGGATACAGCCTTGTTTCAGCTGTAAAACTGGGCACAAAGTATCTCTGTACGGGGAAGATGTTTAATGCAGTCAGATATAAACAAGATCAAGAAATTTTTTCTGCTTACAAAAATTTATTGCAATAGAAATATATGAATGTTGTATAAAAAGAATAACAAAGATAAACAATGCCCAAACTTCAACAATACAAGTCCTTCCTTGTAAACTATTTCATATAAACATGACACGCCTGTTAATGGCAAGAAGGCCTGCTGGTGGTACATCAGTCACATTATTCTATCTTCAAAAACTCATTTGACCTTTAAACTCTAATTATGACCCCAAAATATCTTCCTCTACTTTAGACCTTGACCTTGCTTGGATGATAAAAATAATTCAATAAAAAGTGGTTGCCTCTACTTGCCCTGTACATGTCTTCCAATTCTGTTATATTATCCTTATGGATAAAATAACAGCTTTTCATATAAGAAAACTTCTCTTTAAACAAGAAACTGTGATGAATATTGAACTTTGATAAAAAATTAAAAAAAAATAAAAAAAGAATTAATCCACATGTATAGATAACGTTCTCACTATGGAGGAATTAATCCACACGTTTAGATAACGTTCTCACTATGGAGGAATTAATCCACACGTATCGATAACGTTCTCACTATGGAGGAATTAATCCACACGTTTAGATAACGTTCTCACTATGGAGGAATTAATCCACATGTATCGATAACGTTCTCTCTCTGGAGGATCCACAATTAATCCACACGTATCACTCGATAACGTTCTCACTATGGAGGAATTAATCCACACGTATCGATAACGTTCTCACTATGGAGGAATTAATCCACACGTATCGATAACGTTCTCACTATGGAGGAATTAATCCACACGTATCGATAACGTTCTCACTATGGAGGAATTAATCCACACGTTTAGATAACGTTCTCACTATGGAGGAATTAATCCACATGTATAGATAACGTTCTCACTATGGAGGAATTAATCCACACGTTTAGATAACGTTCTCACTATGGAGGAATTAATCCACATGTAAAGATAACGTTCTCTCTCTGGAGGAATTAATCCACATGTATAGATAACGTTCTCACTATGGAGGAATTAATCCACACGTATCGATAACGTTCTCACTATGGAGGAATTAATCCACACGTATCGATAACGTTCTCACTATGGAGGAAGACATCATTCAGCTTACTGGAATAAATGTTAATATGTAAAAATTAAAAAAAAAAAAATAAAAAAAATAAAAAATTGAATAAAAAGAAACACCACTGGATCTAGAATTTGTTTGATAAACAAATTTTTGAATTTAACAGCAATGTACATTCTGTAAAGTTGCTTTGTCCATAAAAGAATCTTCAATACTGCTAGGGGACTTAAGTGTGGGAATCTAAATAGCCAGCCAAGAAAATATCAGCTGTACATTACATTATACAATATTTGTAGGTGCACTAATTAAAACAGACACCAAGATGTCAGAACGTAGATTCATTTTTCTTATAAAACATTTTAAACATTATTGCTGACATGTACAGACAATGCTTAGAATATATAAAATTCTCTTTCTTCATGATGAAATGTTTTCATCCAATGCTCATATTTCTCATTTTCGCTTTACAAAAAGACCCATGAATCTGTTATACATAGAAAAAGAACCTGCTATGTTAATGATTTATCATAATTATATAGACTTAAATAATGTTGAAAATGCTGATATGTAATAAATATAACGATATACATAAAATACAGCCTCAACAGATACATAAAAACACGATTCATTTCACACACATGTAAAACACTGGCAGTTTTTCCGGCACCAACAAATTGTACCAATACATATCTTGTCATAATGGACATTTTAAAATTAAAACATAACAGAAAAACAACATTAATATGTCTCCTCCATTTTACACCATTATGTTGATGGCATTTCTATTTTTAGTAATAACAACAGAATATTTGTTTTTTTCTTTTCCTAAATCCCTTCATCAACAATTATGTACACATATTAACTAAGTATAGTAAAAGATAATTTGAGTAATGAACAAATAGAATACATAAAGTTACACTTTCATCCTGCCTGATACTGAGAAGTCTTGTTTACTTGGTACTAAAACCTACCTACATCTACATTTCTGTCTCAATTTAAAGTGTTTTTTTTTATGGGACATTTTATGCCAAAAACAAGTAAATAAAATCAAATAATTTCATTGCACTCTTTTAATTACAAATTATTTTACGACAAATTGCAACACACCAGTAATATGATGGTAAATAACACAGATGATTCGATGGCAAATGATAATACAGGTAATTTGATGGCAAACGATAATACAGGTAATTTGATGGCAAATGATAATACAGGTAATTTGATGGCAAACGATAATACAGGTAATTTGATGGCAAACGATAAAACAGGTAATTTAATGGCAAACAATAATACAGGTAATTTGATGGCAAACGATAATACAGGTAATTTTATTGTATATAACACAAGTAATCTAAGGGTGAATAACACAGGTAATTTTGATTGAAAATAACAATACAGATAATTTGATGTCAAATAACTGGGGTAATGATTTATATACATGTACAAATCTCTTGTAAAATCTTATAAGCTGAAAGACATCTGGAATATCTATAAATAACTTTATAAAAAAGACGTGTTCAGACAAACATTTACAAAGTAAACAGCAAGTAAACAGCAAGTAAACAGCAAGTAAACAGCAAGTAAACATTAGTTCCTTCTCTGATTATATTCCTAAAAGTCTTAATCAGTCAGATTTAGAGCATAGCTCCCAAGCATCATTTTCTAAAATCATATTCCATCTCATGGAATTATTTTAATTATGTCTTTATATCTCATCAAGGTATGAAGTATGATATTAACAAATCAAACAAACCAGTCTACTGTTCACCATATATACAACAATTTGTAATGTAACACTTTGGAACATATTCACCATCACCCTCAAACATACAAATACATTTAGATTTGATAAGTTAGACCACTTCTATTAAAAGAACAAGACAAAACAATATTCTACTTGGTACTTCTCATCATAAAAAGTTTGTCTGGAATTAACTCTGTTTAATGATGCCACTTTCTTCATTAAAAAAAAAAAAACAAAAAAAAAAAAAAAAAAAAACACAGGAAATATGAGAGTATACACTGGTACTCTTTCTGGAAAAGTCTTAAAAATCACAACTGTGAATAAATAACAAGTGACTTAATTTTAAATAAACATTTTCAGAAAGTACAGGTTATTTTTGTGTTAGCACACGGACATGGTCTCCAACCCTCAGCTTTCCACCAGCTGTGCCTGTTGATGATTGTAGGTGAATACCAAACGGTACCTAAAAGAAATGAAAATAGACATCTAATATTTCAGTAGCAAACTGAACTACTCTTTCAAGATTTTCAATTACTAAAAACCTCAGACAGGAAATACAAATACAAATAGAAAGTTAGAAAATTTGAGAAATATCTTCATCGTTGATATTTCTGTATCCATATTCAGGTAAATGTGAAAATGAATGTGTATTTTCAAATATATCACCTTTCTGCCCCTCCAGGAGGCGAGGGATTTTAATGGCTCCAGACCTCGCTGACCTGTTGTCTGATCGACACAAATCATCTGACATCTGGTACAACTTCCCTGACTCTGGAACAAGTACAGGGAGATAATCACAAATCAGGGGAGGTAAGCAGAGTGAACATTGAAGCAAAAAGAACTGGACCAATCATTAATTTTAGATACTTTAAGATATTTCAATGTTTGTTAATCAATCAGGGACACATGGGATAAAAAAAGCTTGAGTTTATCAGCATCAAACTTATGATATGATAAAAATAAGATTACTCATTATCAAGAAGACTTTGTAGGCTACTTACAAAAAAAGTGTTCATGCCTATTTCTATGGTATTCCATGAATCCTCTTCAAACGCCTCACCTCCTGATACAATGAGGTTACCACGGAAACGACCCACTAAGTTTGATATACCTGAAAATATGAAACAAAACAACAAATAAAACAAAAACTGTGTATATCTATGTAAATGAAATCCATAATTTCAGAAATTGTTTTGAAGCATATGTAAATTAATAAATATTTAAAAGTTATCATAAAAATATACAGGCAATTCTGATTATGATTTCATAAAGAAAAATCCATTTTACATAAATAGTTAACACAAAATAAACAAATATTCCCTGGTTCAAACAATAGATACAACATGAGCTGTAAGGATTTTTACTGATGAATCGATTCACATGATATAAAACCCCACCTTAACATTGACATGCTTTCTTTCAGTGATTATTCCAATAACTTCAATCCTTTCTTACTTGTTGTAGAAGATGAAAGTAGAGGTTCCTTGGACACTAATCACTGTTAATGAGAATTTCACTAAAGTCAAGCTGTAGACAGTCTTGCTTGTGAAATCTCATGCGGAAAGCTATCAGTCAGTAAACTTAACAACAGAGTCTGCTGACTAACAAACAGGCCAAAGATCTGATGAACCAGATGGATGGACAGATCAATACACTAACGAAGTGATGAAGGAAAGGACAGAAAGAATAAAAAAAAAAAGACAAAATCAAGTGAGAGATGAAAATAATTGAGAGACCGAGAGAACTATTTACCTGGTACGTCATCAATGTCTGCAACAGGAGAATCCTCCAACTGTCGCTCCAGAATTCTGTCTCGTAGCATTTCCACACTTTTATGAGATATAAGGAGATACTGTGATTCATTAGCCAATGATAAACTGCATGCTGTCTTAGAACTGGCTGTGAATAGAAGTAAAGCCTATAGTCTTACCACTGATTTTTATAGCATTTCATTCCAAAGATTTCTCACAAGACATTTAAGTCATTAGTAACTTTCAATACAACACAAAATCAGAATTAGATACAGCAGAGTCAAATGATGAACAACACAAAAACTCATTTGTTTGTAGAGATTCAATTCTTCAATGTGAACTGAATTGCAGATATTATAAGAGCAAAGCTCTATGTTGGTTTCATGTGTAAGACCTCATAGAAGTGAAAGACATGGAGCATCCTTTAGTGAGAGGCATGGAGCATCCTTTAGTGAAAGGCATGGAACATCTATTAGTGAGAGGCATGGAGCATCCTTTAGTGAAAGGCATGGAACATCTATTAGTGAGAGGCATGGAGCATCCTTTAGTGAAAGGCATGGAGCATCATTTTTTGATAGTAAAGTTAGAGCTCAATCCCACAGGTGAAGTTTGAAATAGGTGTTGCAAAGGAAAACCATGATTGTGAAATCATGTTACAAAATGGCCTCCCTTGCTGCTGTGTCAAAAGTTTGTCAATGTCGAAAAATAACAACACTTTGTTGGCTACCTTTCCTTAACATTCCCACCAATTTTAGCTCAATGGCACCAGTGGAACCGGAAAAGAAGTTTAAAATATGTTTTTCAAGATGGTGGCAATTGTGGCCATCTTGGATTTCAGACCAACCTAATACATAACAACACTCTGTCAGGACCATCTTGGGATCATTTCATGCAAGTTTAAGATCTATACCACTGGTGGAACATTAGAAGAAGTTTAAAATGTCAAAAGTTTATGCACATCGGACAGTGGACATTGAAGGATGAAGCACGATGGCTTTAGGTCATCATGACCCGAAGGTGGGGATGTCTGACATGTGAAAATGTGTATTAGGAAAAATACATAAATTTGCCAATGAAACATATACTTATAATATTTAATGGTACATAGGTTTAATCACAGTATCTTTTCATTTCTGGATGCATGATATGTTACAGCTACCAAACTCATATGGTAATGAGGTCACTCAGGTCAATAGTTCATGTGATACAGCTCAACATAATAGCTGTTCCAAAATACATAACAGCACCAAACCGATATGGAGACGAAGGAAGAATCATGTAATAAATGTTTACCGTAAATATTCGCCTATAGTGCGCACTCGCGTATAGTGCGCAGGTACTTTTTGGAGATCAGATTTAAAAAAAAAAAAAAAAATCTACAGAAAAATTAATTGACTGGTCACTACGACGAATCATTTGATGTGGTCTGTTCCATTGATAATTAGGAAACCACAATGAGCGTGACCCTAACACATGTAATTACCTTAAGTAAACAAATTTACCCAGGTGACCTAACAAGCATGAAAGGCTTGGCTGATTGTATAATTAACGGTTAATGACAGTTAACACATGGAGTATGAGGAGACTGATGACACCCGGCTTGGGCTGAACGCGTACTATTGGTCAGAAAACGATGTTGTTTTAACTGTCTGATGCAGGTGGTTTGTTCAGTATAGGCATGATCTTTCATGGTATCTGGAAGGTATTTAATGATAGATTGTTTATACCGACTTCGACATGGGGACTTTGACTACGCCGAGAGACAAAATCCACTTCGACATTCCAGAGTGAAATATCAAGGCATGGAAGGAAAAGACCGTCTTAACCACTTGACATAGGTGCGACAGCGTCACCAACTTTGGGCATCGGTGGGATGTGCTGTCCGATTTATGAACAGAACGACAATCGCCTAAAAACTTCCGGATTCATTGAATTCCACAGATACATCATCAAAATGAGGCAGAAATTCAGACACTACTATAGCCCCGACCAATAGTAAGACCGACGGGAAACGAAAAAAAATTAGATTCACCGTAATGCTAGCGTGAATGGCAGATGATTAAACATTTTATTTTTTTGTTGTTTTTATCTCCAAACTATCATATAAGACCGACGACTTTTACATATAACAATGTGAAGGGAGGTAATCCAATATGGTGGATGCAGAACTCGGGAATGATAACCCCAGGAATGGCATGTACCTGCGTATAGTGCGCACCCCCTTTTTGACACGACAGTTTCAGCTTAAAAAAGTGCGCACTATACGCGAATATTTACGGTAGTATAAAATTGGACTAAACTCAATCAAAATCATATCAATGTACTTAGGTTACCTTGGCTAGAATCTTTCAGTTTACTAGTGCGTTGGTCATTCTTGGTTTGTTGGATCAAACGACAACCTGATCTCTGTAACGCCACACTGACCCACTCTGCAACAGCATCCCCGCAGTCTAACCCTCTGACTCTGTAGAAACAAAAATCTTCAATGATCCAGACTATAGACACAAAGAGGAGCAATGTCCCAGATTACAAAAGAAGAGCACCAATGACCCTGACTACAGACAAATAGGCACCAAAGGCCTTAAATACAAATGTTTACAGGACTCATGAGACTAAATCAGCCAATGAGTGACTGGGATTCTGTTTCATCTGATAATAATCCCTACCTAAATTGAGATTTTGAGATTTCTCAAAAGATTGTGTCCTTTGGAGTTTTTAAACTCATAATTGGTGACAGGTGAAGGATGCAGGTATTTGGCTTCATAACAAGAGAGCCATGGCCCTAACTGGTCATCTGACAATCGTGAATGGATGGAAAAACCACAGAATTCACTGATGGTGGTCTGACAAATCTGATGAATTAAAATTTTGAACATTTCTTCAAAGTATCAAAAACTCATAAACGGTAAATTCTGTGCTGGAAAAACAATTGCACCATCATGTTATAAAACAACTACTGTTGAAGTTTTGATCAGACTGGAAAGTAACAACAAGTTGTCTCTTTCTTTTCTTAAAAAAATCAAAATCTAAATAGTTCTCATTGATGGGAATGAAACATGAGAAGTTGTCAAAGACCATTTGTTATAGATGAGTTATGCTGGATTTTGAAACCAAGCAAAACATTTGGTCAGGACAATCTCAGGATCACCTTTTGGGCCCTACCCCCAAGTCCCTAGGGGTCGAATAAAATTTCTGAATTTAAGAATTATTTGCCAACCCCTACTAATGTTACTGACAAAATTTGAATGTAATCCAATCAAGCATTAAGGAAGAGTAGCATTTTGAAGTAAAGTATGGTCTAATTACCCTTTAAGGCCCCCAAGTCCCTAGGGGTAAAATCAAATTTCTGAATTTAAGAAATAATCCCCCACTCCCAAAGATGTTTCAGACAAAATTTGGTTGAAATCTGCCAAGGCGTTAAGCAGGAGTAGTGTTTTAAAGGAAAAGTTTACAGATGGCGGACGATGAACAGTGGACAGCAATCAGCCACAACAATGGATGATGGACAGTGGACAGAAAACAGTGCACAACAATGGAAGATGGACAGTGGACAGCAAACAGTGCACAACAATGGAAGATGGACAGTGGACAGCAAACAGTGCACAACAATGGAAGATGGACAGTGGACAGAAAACAGTGCACAACAATGGAAGATGGACAGTGGACAGAAAACAGCGCACAACAATGGAAGATGGACAGTGGACAGAAAACAGTGCACAACAATGGAAGATGGACAGTGGACAGCAAACAGTGCACAACAATGGAAGATGGACAGTGGACAGCAAACAGTGCACAACAATGGAAGATGGACAGTGGACAGCAAACAGTGCACAACAATGGAAGATGGACAGTGGACAGCAAACAGTGCACAACAATGGAAGATGGACAGTGGACAGCAAACAGTGCACAACAATGGAAGATGGACAGTGGACAGCAAACAGTGCACAACAATGGAAGATGGACAGTGGACAGCAAACAGTGCACAACAATGGAAGATGGACAGTGGACAGAAAACAGTGCACAACAATGGAAGATGGACAGTGGACAGCAAACAGTGCACAACAATGGAAGATGGACAGTGGACAGAAAACAGTGCACAACAATGGAAGATGGACAGTGGACAGCAAACAGTGCACAACAATGGAAGATGGACAGTGGACAGAAAACAGTGCACAACAATGGAAGATGGACAGTGGACAGCAAACAGTGCACAACAATGGAAGATGGACAGTGGACAGCAAACAGTGCACAACAATGGAAGATACATGATAGCAATAGGTCATCTTGACCCTTTCACTTGTAAACTTCTGGTTGTTGACTTCTGAAAGTACTGACAGCCTGAGATGCCATTTAATCTACTAAATTATACCATTTGTAGCCTTTGCCTGGTATGTTTCTATATTACTTATGTAGAATATTAATGCTATTAGCTTAATTGTTATGTAATGTAGTGGTGAGACCTATAAAGACCAATACTTTGAGCCAAACTTCAAACAAGAAACCAATTCTTGTAATAATCATATGCTCTAGATAAGAGTACTGAAACATGTTTGTTCTGCTAACATGCTACATTACATAGTTCAGTTAATGGTAAAAAGGCTCAATGGACTTGTAACATTTAGCAATCACGCAGCTAGGGCATTCATATTTATCCTAACCTTAAAACCCCTTATATAAACAATCATAACTTCCAGCTTTGTGTCTCTCCAGAAGAAGTGGTATGAAGACTTTAACACATTTGACCCTTGAGACCTTACAAGCATTTCAACTTCAGAAGTTCAAAGTTTTAACCATATCAAACATCTGTGGTGTATTGGCGTGTGGGTCTAGGTAATTCATTTGAACAAAGTTTATAGTCCTTCATCGTTGATGTTCCCAACCTTTCATTATAGTTCATGACTCTTGACCTCATAGTTATTGAGAAGAAGTTGTGTCAAGAAGACATCACAGCATAAGCTCACTCACACTTCAAGTAGGTGAGCTGAACATTAACATCAACATTATTCTATTTAAATTTCGAAATATTTTATTGACATAAAGACAAAAATTGAACACTTAAGTCCTTTCCTAAAATCAAAATCAATATTATTTACTTACCTATCTCCACACACTTTGCTGGTGCAGGCCTCTTCAGGACATTGGTGTGATTTACAGTTCAAAGGTAGGTAGAAAGTTGTCATGTCTAAAATAAATAAAAATCACAAATAGATATACAATCATAGATATTTGTTTAAGCAGTTTTATGCATTCTTAGTCAAGATATATTTTAATGAATTTACAAATCACTGAATGAAACACAACCATGTTGGAAACACTTGATATATTCCATTATAAGGCCAGGGATCAACACATTACTTCCTGTTGAGAATAAGGGGATGGGCTTATTACAGGCAATTAAACAATCTTAAATAATAATTATAATTTCAAATATACCATGAGGTAACAAATGTCTTAAATAGGTGGGCTTATTACCAGGCATGGTCTTATTGTTTGATAAATATGTTAATTTGTATCATTAATTAGGATATAACATTGCTGTGTCCAGATATCAGAAGTTTCATATGACACAGTCTACTGTAAAACATGTATACTTCATGGAGAATTCATTTTTGCATTAAATCGGGTCCATCCCTCAAGCCCCAGTGGGTCAAGACCCATCAATTATTTTAGCACTGAACAGTTTTCAAATGGCATCCAATTTTGATATCCATATGCATTATGAATGGCAACCAGATAAAGGGGCATATTCAATGAAATACATTCACATTTTATGATGAGTTTCAATTTATCCAGTTGGTATTCATGATGCAGTTTTCAATTTTGATCTTGTTCTAAGGGAAGGAAATGTCAATTTGATTGATTGGAGTACATGTTATAACTTGGACAATGGCAAATAAAACAAAATTGGTTCCTCTCATCCTGAGGATGTTTCTGACCAAATTTGGTCAAAATATTTCATCTTTATAGAACATTTCCCCTCTCCCCCTCCCACCCCTACTCACATCCTAACGATTGGATCCTGCCCCTTGGACAATCAGTTTTATGCAAAGTTTTGTCCAAATTTGGTAAAAAATAACTTCATTTTATTAGATGATTTTTAAACTATAATTTTACACCCACTTCCCTCAGGAAATTTTATACAGAGTTGTGCCCCCTTCACCCAAGTTAATGGATGGACGACTGATATTGTACCATATGTAGAAGTCAACCAGTGGTTTGTACCAGTTGAGATAAAAGTGATATTAAACCCATGTCAACAAATGGGAAGTGTGTGCTTGCAATACAAACAGAGTAATAACAAACAAAATTGACAAATGCTAGCATTAGAAACAGTTAAAAAAAAAACTTCCTCCAAATATCCAATGTCACCTATTTCAATGAAAATTAACTCTGTAAATATTTGATTCAAAATTGTGAAAATTTAAATAACAAAAACAACCAACTATACAACAGCATCACATTATAATTTAATAGCTGAAACTAATTTTTGAGATTGCAGGTGGCAGACACTACTGGTGGATTTTTTTAGACCCCATTCATTTGAATAGTAGTGGGGTACACATGTAACGAATGTACTTGTGAAATTATCAGACACAAGAAAATTACAAAATTGAAATGTGAGACAAGTGCACCTCTCCATCTAGATTTTGACATTTCTGACAAATTTTCCTCTCAGTACCCTTCTCGGTTTTAAAATTTAGGTCCATATAAATACTGACAGGTCCTAGAAGGACAAAACATCTGTACAATGCAAATTATTTCCTTGTTTGGATCTACTTAATCTAACTCTAAATCTGTATTGAAATGTGCTCAACTTATAAATTGTGAATACCAGGATATTCAAGTTTCAGTGTCTGCTCCAACAAGTCTAATGTTGGTCGTATTAGACAAAGGTTTGTCTCCCTTTTCTGACTCAATGCAATTCCACTTTCCGATATAATCATCCATTCACGGTCGTACAGCAACCCTCTCTGTCCAAAACTCCACTCTTTCACCTGATGAAGAGGAAAAAAAAACCAATTTCTTAGTGTATTTGTTAAGTAATAAATAAAAGTCTGAGAGAGTTAGTAGAAACATCATTTAAAAGTTAAATGAAGATATATGTATTTGTTTTTAGTATATACATAACATTCCTCAGTGATATTAGGATCAGTTTTATGATGATGTGTTCCTCCTGGGTCCATGACTGTCAGTATGTATTATACTTGATGTGTAAATTTGATAAAATACCTGGAACACATCTGTAAACCAAACCTTTTTGACTTTACAGTTTACTGTGTATCTATGGAAAGTCTGAGCGCTTGGTGAATTAACATCCCATTGAAGGATTACATTAGATCATAATGATATGAAATTGTCATTGCTCCTCTCTAGGTGAAATGAAGACAGAACTCAATTCAACCATATTGTGGATTGAAGTGCAATTCATCTCCCTTTATATGGTAAATCACTTAAAAATCACTTTATTTCGCAATCTCACCTTTGCAGACATATTCACAAATACATGATTTTTCTAATGTTGATCTAGAAATGATTTTACAAACGTTGATCTAGAAATGATTTTACAAATGTTGATCTAGTAATGATTTTACAAACGTTGATCTAGAAATGATTTTACAAACGTTGATCTAGAAATGATTTGAATTTGTTAATGATGAGCTAATTTAGAGACAAGGTTTCTGGAAGGCTTCTGTATTGGCAACCAATAGCTTTATGTTGGCAGAGAATCAACAATGAGCAAGAAATCTGAATTTTCAACCACATGTATAATGAATACTGGATACTATTTATCACTATTGGTAATTCTTTCAAAAGAGATCATGACAAAATGATCCAATCAGATTTCAGCACTTTCATACAAAGTATATTCTATATGTACTAATGGATTAGAAGTAAAACATAGGATTCTGTCAAACTCTAATATCCTCAGTATTCCTTCAAACTCTGGTATCCTCAGTATTCCTTCAAACTCTAATATCCTCAGTATTCCTTCAAACTCTGGTATCCTCAGTATTCCTTCAAACTCTAATATCCTCAGTATTCCTTCAAACTCTGGTATCCTCAGTATTCCTTCAAACTCTAATATCCTCAGTATTCCTTCAAACTCTGGTATCCTCAGTATTCCTTCAAACTCTGGTATCCTCAGTATTCCTTCAAACTCTGGTATCCTCAGTATTCCTTCAAACTCTGGTATCCTCAGTATTCTCTCAAACTCTGGTATCCTCAGTATTCCTTCAAACTCTGGTATCCTCAGTATTCCTTCAAACTCTAATATCCTCAGTATTCCTTCAAACTCTGGTATCCTCAGTATTCCTTCAAACTCTAATATCCTCAGTATTCCTTCAAACTCTGGTATCCTCAGTATTCCTTCAAACTCTAATATCCTCAGTATTCCTTCAAACTCTGGTATCCTCAGTATTCCTTCAAACTCTGGTATCCTCAGTATTCCTTCAAACTCTGGTATCCTCAGTATTCTCTCAAACTCTGGTATCCTCAGTATTCTCTCAAACTCTGGTATCCTCAGTATTCCTTCAAACTCTGGTATCCTCAGTATTCCTTCAAACTCTGGTATCCTCAGTATTCCTTCAAACTCTGGTATCCTCAGTATTCCTTCAAACTCTGGTATCCTCAGTATTCCTTCAAACTCTGGTATCCTCAGTATTCCTTCAAACTCTGGTATCCTCAGTATTCCTTCAAACTCTGGTATCCTCAGTATTCCTTCAAACTCTGGTATCCTCAGTATTCCTTCAAACTCTGGTATCCTCAGTATTCCTTCAAACTCTGGTATCCTCAGTATTCCTTCGAACTTTAATATCCTCAGTATTCCTTCAAACTCTGGTATCCTCAGTATTCTCTCAAACTCTGGTATCCTCAGTATTCCTTCAAACTCTGGTATCCTCAGTATTCCTTCAAACTCTGGTATCCTCAGTATTCCTTCAAACTCTGGTATCCTCAGTATTCTTCTCAAACTCTGGTATCCTCAGTATTCCTTCGAACTTTAATATCCTCAGTATTCCTTCAAACTCTGGTATCCTCAGTATTCCTTCAAACTCTGGTATCCTCAGTATTCCTTCAAACTCTGGTATCCTCAGTATTCCTTCAAACTCTGGTATCCTCAGTATTCTCTCAAACTCTGGTATCCTCAATATTCTCTCAAACTCTGGTATCCTCAGTATTCCTTCAAACTCTGGTATCCTCAGTATTCCTTCAAACTCTGGTATCCTCAGTATTCCTTCAAACTCTGGTATCCTCAGTATTCCTTCAAACTCTGGTATCCTCAGTATTCCTTCAAACTCTGGTATCCTCAGTATTCCTTCAAACTCTGGTATCCTCAGTATTCTCTCAAACTCTGGTATCCTCAGTATTCTCTCAAACTCTGGTATCCTCAGTATTCCTTCAACATCTGGTATCCTCAGTATTCTCTCAAACTCTGGTATCCTCAGTATTCCTTCAAACTCTGGTATCCTCAGTATTCTCTCAAACTCTGGTATCCTCAGTATTCCTTCAAACTCTGGTATCCTCAGTATTCCTCAAACTCTGGTATCCTCAGTATTCTCTCAAACTCTGGTATCCTCAGTATTCTCTCAAACTCTGGTATCCTCAGTATTCCTTCAAACTCTGGTATCCTCAGTATTCCTTCAAACTCTGGTATCCTCAGTATTCTCTCAAACTCTGGTATCCTCAGTATTCTCTCAAACTCTGGTATCCTCAGTATTCCATCAAACTCTGGTATCCTCAGTATTCATTCAAACTCTGGTATCCTCAGTATTCTCTCAAACTCTGGTATCCTCAGTATTCTCTCAAACTCTGGTATCCTCAGTATTCCTTCAAACTCTGGTATCCTCAGTATTCCTTCAAACTCTGGTATCCTCAGTATTCTCTCAAACTCTGGTATCCTCAGTATTCAATCAAACTCTGGTATCCTCAGTATTCCTTCAAACTCTGGTATCCTCAGTATTCCTTCAAACTCTGGTATCCTCAGTATTCTCTCAAACTCTGGTATCCTCAGTATTCCTTCAAACTCTGGTATCCTCAGTATTCCTTCAAACTCTGGTATCCTCAGTATTCCTTCAAACTCTGGTATCCTCAGTATTCTCTCAAACTCTGGTATCCTCAGTATTCCTTCAAACTCTGGTATCCTCAGTATTCCTTCAAACTCTGGTATCCTCAGTATTCCTTCAAACTCTGGTATCCTCAGTATTCTCTCAAACTCTGGTATCCTCAGTATTCCTACAAACTCTGGTATCCTCAGTATTCCTTCAAACTCTGGTATCCTCAGTATTCTTCAAACTCTGGTATCCTCAGTATTCTTCAAACTCTGGTATCCTCAGTATTCCTCAAACTCTGGTATCCTCAGTATTCCTTCAAACTCTGGTATCCTCAGTATTCCTTCAAACTCTGGTATCCTCAGTATTCTCTCAAACTCTGGTATCCTCAGTATTCTCTCAAACTCTGGTATCCTCAGTATTCCTTCAAACTCTGGTATCCTCAGTATTCCTTCAAACTCTGGTATCCTCAGTATTCCTTCAAACTCTGGTATCCTCAGTATTCTCTCAAACTCTGGTATCCTCAGTATTCCTTCAAACTCTGGTATCCTCAGTATTCCTTCAAACTCTGGTATCCTCAGTATTCTCTCAAACTCTGGTATCCTCAGTATTCCTTCAAACTCTGGTATCCTCAGTATTCCTTCAAACTCTGGTATCCTCAGTATTCTCTCAAACTCTGGTATCCTCAGTATTCCTTCAAACTCTGGTATCCTCAGTATTCCTTCAAACTCTGGTATCCTCAGTATTCTCTCAAACTCTGGTATCCTCAGTATTCCTCAAACTCTAAATCCTCAGTATTCTTCAAACTCTGGTATCCTCAGTATTCTCTCTGGTATCCTCAGTATTCCTTCAAACTCTGGTATCCTCAGTATTCTCTCAAACTCTGGTATCCTCAGTATTCCTTCAAACTATAATATCCTCAGTATTCCTTCAAACTCTGGTATCCTCAGTATTCTCTCAAACTCTGGTATCCTCAGTATTCTCTCAAACTCTGGTATCCTCAGTATTCCTCAAACTCTAATATCCTCAGTATTCCTTCAAACTCTGGTATCCTCAGTATTCTTCAAACTCTGGTATCCTCAGTATTCCTCTCAAACTCTGGTATCCTCAGTATTCCTACAAACTCTGGTATCCTCAGTATTCTCTCAAACTCTGGTATCCTCAGTATTCCTTCAAACTCTGGTATCCTCAGTATTCCTTCAAACTCTGGTATCCTCAGTATTCCTTCAAACTCTGGTATCCTCAGTATTCCTTCAAACTCTGGTATCCTCAGTATTCACTCAAACTCTGGTATCCTCAGTATTCCTTCAAACTCTGGTATCCTCAGTATTCTCTCAAACTCTGGTATCCTCAGTATTCCTTCAAACTCTGGTATCCTCAGTATTCTCTCAAACTCTGGTATCCTCAGTATTCCTTCAAACTCTGGTATCCTCAGTATTCTCTCAAACTCTGGTATCCTCAGTATTCCTTCAAACTCTGGTATCCTCAGTATTCTCTCAAACTCTGGTATCCTCAGTATTCTCTCAAACTCTGGTATCCTCAGTATTCCTTCAAACTCTGGTATCCTCAGTATTCCTTCAAACTCTGGTATCCTCAGTATTCGTTCAAACTCTGGTATACTCAGTATTCGTTCAAACTCTGGTATCCTCAGTATTCTCTCAAACTCTGGTATCCTCAGTATTCCTCAAACTCTGGTATCCTCAGTATTCCTCAAACTCTGGTATCCTCAGTATTCTCTCAAACTCTGGTATCCTCAGTATTCTCTCAAACTCTGGTATCCTCAGTATTCTCTCAATCTCTGGTATCCTCAGTATTCCTTCAAACTCTGGTATCCTCAGTATTCTCTCAAACTCTGGTATCCTCAGTATTCTTCAAACTCTGGTATCCTCAGTATTCTCTCAAACTCTGGTATCCTCAGTATTCTCTCAAACTCTGGTATCCTCAGTATTCTCTCAAACTCTGGTATCCTCAGTATTCTCTCAAACTCTGGTATCCTCAGTATTCCTTCAAACTCTGGTATCCTCAGTATTCCTTCAAACTCTGGTATCCTCAGTATTCTCTCAAACTCTGGTATCCTCAGTATTCTCTCAAACTCTGGTATCCTCAGTATTCCTTCAAACTCTGGTATCCTCAGTATTCCTTCAAACTCTGGTATCCTCAGTATTCCTTCAAACTCTGGTATCCTCAGTATTCTCTCAAACTCTGGTATCCTCAGTATTCTCTCAAACTCTGGTATCCTCAGTATTCTCTCAAACTCTGGTATCCTCAGTATTCCTTCAAACTCTGGTATCCTCAGTATTCCTTCAAACTCTGGTATCCTCAGTATTCTCTCAAACTCTGGTATCCTCAGTATTCCTTCAAACTTTAATATCCTCAGTATTCCTTCAAACTCTGGTATCCTCAGTATTCTCTCAAACTCTGGTATCCTCAGTATTCCTCTCAAACT